GAGCACAGAGCCTGTTCATATTTATTTATATGCTGTGTTTCCACTTCATTCTCACTGAACAGCCCTTAGCTCCTCTTGCCTCTTTTGATCTACCAGACTCTTTCTCTCCCGTGTCTTAGTACACCAAGCACGTGGCCAAGCAGTCAAACCTCAGTGTGCCAACTGATCAATAATGCAAATGTAACTGCAGGCTGATCAAAACTTCCATATAAATAGATCCCTATGCTGCCAGGAAATAGTGTTCCAAATTAAAATTATAAACCCCTAGAGTGCTGATGAGATTTTTCCCCAAACCCACTGAATTCTGGAGTTTGATAGAAAACCAAAATATTTGCAGTTTCAGGTCAAAGATATAACACTACTTTAATACACACACTATCTCTGTATATATCTAAACCTTATTTGGGGGTGAATTTCATTATCTGTACTGCCAGCCATCAGCAGTTTAATGAGAAAGTTCCTGAAAGCAAGAATCCACTTTGACATCACCATTTCCATTTGTTTTCTGTTCTGTTTTCAACAGAACTGGTGAGACATTTCACTTGTAAGCATGATTCAGAATGCCAAGTTCAGGAGGGAAAAAAAAAATCTCCATAGTTACACACCTCTTTCTTGCAATGAAGTGCCAGTTCTTCAGGGCTCTGCTTCCAAATTATAAGTGCTGTAACACAGTAAAAATGCCTTGCCTCAATCATGATAGACCTGTTTACAGTTTTTAGCCAACACCTAAAACATAGACCATTTTCCTCTCTACAAATAACTGAAAAACCCCAAGGAAATAATCTAAAAATCCAGTTTGTGATGTAAAAAGAAAATATTGTGGAGGTAAACCCAGTCCATAACACCAAAAGGAAGGATTCAGGATGAATTTGCCAAAACCAGAGAAATTCCAAAGGGTATATATTGGAAAATATGAGATATATGGACCATATAAATATACAAAAATAGAATCTATTAATATGATCTCTTAGTGTAAAATTTAACACTCACGTTTAACTCTTATGCTTGCAATGCACAGAAATTAAGAACAAGGTATTAATTCAAAATTAATTACATTATATATATTCTTTAATTTACCACAAGCATACCAACGTTATGTAAGAAATCCCTACCTTTCTTTAGAAGACATTAGGAGACACCTATACAGACAATATTATTAGGCTGGGGTTAGAGGTCAGCCCACGAGTGATTTTTCTTTGTCATTTAATTCCCATTTCTAGAAATAAGAAATTACCTTGTGACTGCCTCTCACTCTGATTTCTGCTGTTACACTCTACAGTCATAATCACATCTCAGTGTTTGCTTTATAAATTACGAGGACACGTAGGTTGAACCTGGACTTCTCCCACTGACTCAGGGACTGAAAAGTCCTATAGGAACATAAATTCACTTGACACGGGCGAGTTCAACAGCTCGTTCCTTCTGGGGCCTGTGATAATTTCGGCATCAGTCTGAAGCACCAGCAGCACCACGTCCAGGGCTCTCCTCCACGCCTCTGTCTTGGCCGCGACGTTGTCACAAACCTTTAAACCCTCGCTGTGGTCAGCAAAGGGACCAGAGGCACCCCCGAGCACGTCACCCCTTCGAAACAATTCCAATATATACGCTGAGGGAGAGCCACAATCCGCTGCTTTCCTGAGGTGATGATCCACCAACGCACACGCTTCCAGCTCCGATGGAGCCTTTGCCACGTTGCACATGAGCACTGCGAGGTACCGCTTCCAGCCACTTGCCAGTGCTTGGAGCACGAGGGATTTATACTCTGCCACGGGTGCTGCCAGCCAAGGACCGGGAAACTCTTTCCCAGCCTTTGCTGGTCGCACAGGCTGCTCTGCGAGCACCTGGATGTGGCTGAGGCACAAGAGCTCCACCGCACCAGCCCCGGGAAAAACCTTCCCATCTTTTAAAGCGTGGTGGAGCCGATACACCAAAGTCCAGAACTGGTCCTCCAGGAGCTGCACCTTGGCAGCCACGGCAGTGGTGAGCACGGCCGTGAGCAGGGGGAGGCCCCGCGCGTTGATCCGCACCGGCACGAGCTCCCCCAGATCCATCGCACGCCCATCGCTGGCCTCCCACAGCCCGGCCTGGGCCCCGTTCCCAACACAGGAAGGGTTCAGCTGGCTCAGGTACGTCACTGGCTGGGCACCAGTGGCCTCCCCAAAGGCACACAACACATCCCGAGGCACAGGACCGATGACCGCTATCCCGTTTGAGGTGCACCTGTCCAGTAAGTTTTTGCACACGCTCCCTTTGACCAAAACGAGGTTTACTTCAAAGCCCACCAGAATACCTAACATTCTGCTTAGCCACGTGTCTCCTGCTCTGCCTCCCTCTAGGTCAGGATGCTCCAGTATGGTCCTTACGTTATGTGGTCTGTTAAAACCTAAGTGACGATACTGCTCCGTTAGGTCACCGTCCACCAGCAGCATCCGGAGGGGTTTGTCTTTAAACTGTTTGATGACCGCGGCTTGTTCTGGTGACACTAACGTGACGAAGCCCTGGCAGACACAGGAATAGCTTTCAGGCAGGCCCAGCAAAGGGCACGTCACAATCTCTGTGATATTAAGCTGGGAAGAGCCCCTGCATTCTGCTCTCTCTTGCTGATACGCAACAACGCTCTGGAGCAGTTTGACGCCAGTCTGATTTCCACGGCTCAGAGCCACTGCCAGGTGTCCTAAATCACAGCATTCACATGGATCTGCTGACGGTCTCAGAAAGCGTCCCTGAAAATTACCTTGCTGACTTGAAAAATGGCTTTTTCCTAAAGTGCTGAAGTGTCTGCTGTGGGTTAACTTCTGTTTGATCCAGCTGCATGCGATAACGCCACTTCCAGGAATCACAGATGAACTTCTGTCACCCGCTGGTTTGACAAGAGAAGCTGCTGAACCAAAGTCAACCAAGGGTGAAACCAGGCCCTTGTTAAAATGACAGTCATCTCCTTGATGGGAACAAGAACTTACTGGAATTACTTCTGGTGCAGAAACATGTTTCTGAAAACACAGCAAGTCCTGAGGATTTAGAAGACTGTCACATCCAACTTGGCAAGCTTTGCATTCAAAAGCCTTTGGCCTGACTCTGCTAGAACACAGATCTTTCTTTACGTCATGTATTGATATTTGGAGACACTGGACTCTCTCACAGCAAGAGTTCAACCCCTCAGACATCACCGACACTATTGCTGAAACAGGGACATTCTGCTGGAGGCACTCCACCACGGCACTGCTCCACGCACCAACAAGGAACAACAGGGTACTCATCCCAGTCTTAAACTCCTTGTTCTGGGCCTGAATGGTTTCATTAAGAAGCTGTCCAGCAGCACTAGTCAAATCCAAACTCTCAAGCAGTCTAACAGCAGAACAAATCAATGTGCTTTGCTTGGTGCTTTCATCCACGATGAATTTATGAGACTTCACTGGCCCCAGAAATGCTCTGCCAGTCGATGCCAAGGATGAGAGTTGCTGGAGTCCAATGTGCCTCCTTGCATTCACATCTCTGAAAGCCATGGGAAGTGGGCAGCCTCTGTGGACAGAACACAAACTTACTGACCCAATCTCACAGCAAGCCAGGGCACAGATCCCAAAACCAGTAATTCAGCAGCCTAACCCTGAACACAGCTCTACTCTGTATAAAACAGTTCTTTATCCTGTGCACTTATTATGAGACATCAATGCGTACAATTGCTGAAATGGCGAGTTGCTAAAATGCCATGGAATTGTTTCTGGCTTTCTTATTGTAAAAAGCTGTTAATTCCCATGGTTTCTTCAATTTGAAGCACTGCAGACTGTACAGAACTACCATGTCCCTCCTGACCTGTTATGTGGAATTTCAGCTATTTGCCTTACTTGGGGCAAAAGTTCCTTAGAGCAGAATGGGCAAATTACATGCAAAACACAAGTGCTCTCTGCAGATTCTTCTTGGTACCAACAGGTGTACCTTCTGAAGGTTTAACTTTCAAAATCTGGGAAAAAACCCTAACTTGTTTCCAATTCTATCTAGTCCATTTAGCACACATCAATACTTTATTAAACATGCATGAAAAGTAATACCTCAAAACCGCCAAGGTTTTAAAATTTCTGATCTACTACTCAATTTAAACACACCAAAAATAAATCTTCTTTCCTTCGAAATCTCTTCCACACCACAGTCCTGGATTGAACTAAAACTTCCCTTTTGACTTACAAAGTACACACACCAAGAATTTAGAACCCTGAGCCCTATACCTTTTATGCTCAGATTCAAATCACAGAATCACAGAATGGTTTGGTTTGGAAGGGACCTTGAAGATCACTCTGTTGCAAACCCCCCCTCGCCATGGGCAGGGACACGTTCCACCAGTCCAGGTTGCTCTGAGACCCATCCAACCCAGCCTTGGACACTTCCAGGGATGTGGCACTCACAGCTTCTCTGGACAACCTGTGCCAAGTGCCTCACCGCCCTGGAAGTAAAGAATTTTCCCCTAATACCTAATTTTCCCCCAGTATCTAATCTAATCTAAACCTACTCTCTTTCAGTTTCAACCGACTCCCCCTTGTCCTGCCTTGTAAATAGTCTTGCCCCATCTTTCCTGTATATGCCCTTCAGGTACTGGAATTTACTCATTATACCATTTATTTCATCTCCCTAAAGGCCCCTCGGCGCAGCTAGTCCAAAACCCAAAAAGCTCATGTTTCCATCCCACTCCGCGAAAAGTCCATCTGAACATTATCGCCTTAATCGTCACAGGGAGAGGAAGCGCTTCCCGCATCGCCAGGGGGGGAAAGCATCCTGGAGCGGACGCAGCGGGCGCCCCGGAACCGCCTCGGCGGCGGCCCGGGCCGCTTCCTGCGGTGCGGAGTGTCGGCCCGGTGGCTGTGCGGAGGAGGGTGCGGGTGTCTCACCGGTGCGGGCGCGCTTCCCGCCGCTCCCGGCGCTTCCCTGGACACCGCGAGTTGCCTGGACACGGCGGCCGCTGGCCCCCGCGGCGCCCGCAGCTGTCAATCACGGGCACGGCGCGGCGCTATTGGTCCGTGCTCAGCCAGGGGGGAGGGTCCCGCGGCGCGTCCCGCTCGCCCATTGGCCGGCCGGCCGGCGCGTGTCTGTTGCGCCGTGTCCCGCCCGGTCCCGTGCCGGATGGTTCCCGCCTGGATGGTGAGCGCGTCCCTTCCCTCCCTTCCCTCCCTTCCCCAGCGGGATCCCCTTCCCACCGCCGCCTCCCCAGAGCCCCTCCGCCCCTCCCCGCCAACCGGCAAACCCCTCTCAGCTTCCACCCCCGCTCAGGCCGCCGCTAACGCCTGGTTACCTCCTCCGCCCCCACCACCGCCCCTCCCCAGCTCTGTCACTATGGAAAACGCTCCCGAAAAAAAACCACCGGGATTCGCTCGCAAAATGCGGTACCTGCGCTCGGCAAGCTGAGGGGGAGCACGCCTGGTTGGTCTCGGCACGGCTCGCTGGGCTCCTCCGCTTCGTGCCGTCGGCGGTGGCGGGTCGGGATGGCACCAGCCAGGCCAGGAGCGGGAACCTGGAAGGGATGTGCACAGCTCAGACTTGGAATAAAGGGGACGATGATAAGTCTCTGTAACTAGGAAAAAAGGTCTCCCGTGGGTTTTTGCCGGAGCGGCGTATAGAGGGTAAAAATCTGATGCTCGTGTCGATAGCAGGGAGAAGCCAGAACTGGGGGGAACAAATCTTGTTAAAAAAAAAAGAAATTTCACGTTTAACTACAAGAAAATGGAATCTTCTATGTGACACATTGGGAATTTAAGGCAGAGATCCCAGCCAGAAAAATGGTACCAATTCAGCTGAGATAAGAAAGTGGTCAGCAGTAGCTAGAAAGCAAATTCCTTGCTTGGTGTTTATTTATTTTTTTGAAGCCCAACCAGCTGAAGCCGGGGATGGGAGGGACGGCCTTTCCTTCCACCAGGCTGTGCAGATTCAAGACTGAAGGACTAGAATCTGTCAGCTGCTGGTTTAAAAACGAAACTAGACTTGAGGAAAACATCCTTCTAGCTCTGTAGAATGGGAGGGACCCGCAGACCCTGTACTGTACAGTTCACACCAGAGGCACGAAAGGTCTCGGAATTATCCTGGATAACGATGTACCAGCTCAGCGCAAGCAGATTAGTGCTCCTTAAGGGGCAGATTTCGTGTTGATCTCACTGCTCCCAGAACACGTTGTTACCTGGCTCCACAGCTCCTCCGGGGACGGGGAGCCTGGAGCTGCACAGCTCCCTTTACACTTCGCTCCCTCAGAGCAGGTGCTCTGGGATATCCCATCTCAGAGCTGGCTTGGAGGACTGGCTGAATTCGTGTGCCATTCACAGTCAGGACCCTGTGCAACCACGTTTTTTTTAGCTGTGAGGATGATGGACTCACATTTTCCGGGTGAAACCACTCCTGACACATCCAGGCAACTGCAGGAGGTACAGAGGGTCTTCAGTCTCCTCAGCGGGGTGTTCATTTTCGGTCTGCCTGCCTTTTCGGTCTGCCTGCCTGTTCTTCTGGCACGACTCCTTCAATCTTCAGAATTCCTGTTTAAAACAGAAAACATGAAACCCAAATGCACATTTTGCAGGAACAAAGTGTTTGCTTGTGTTCTTTTTAGAATAACCATAGAAATGTCTACCACTGGCAGCAAGGAGTGTCTCTCACTTCTGCTACTGTTGTTATTTATAACTTAATGTATTTTGAATTCTCCCTGGAATGGGCTATCTCTTATCTGCTCTCTCCCTTACTTTCTGAAGGCATCCAACTACAGAAAACCTGGCTTAGCTACAGCCCAGCGGAAGAAAAGTGGCTTGAAACCTGAACTTACAGAAGAGCAAAAGCAGGAGATCCGAGAAGCTTTTGATTTGTTTGACACCGATGGATCTGGAAGCATCGACATCAAGGAACTGAAGGTTTTCAAACTTTTTTCTTTTTCTTTGGATGAAAATCTCTTTGATCTTAAAACTGCAGCTGCTTTCTCTGTTTGTCCAGCCCTACTTTAAAATAGTTTTGGAGTACGAACAAGAGTAATGGCTTGCTGTCATGACTAAATTTGGGGTGTATTTTTACATGGAGCATGTAATGCTCCAGAGCAGACAGGCTTCTCTAATATGTGGATATTTGGGTCTGATAACTTGGAGTTATCTGAGCATTAGAGGAACTAAACAGTTCCTGAGGTGGTTGTTTCTGGGAAATGGGCTTTTGTTGTTCTGGGATGAATGTCAGAATATCAGATATTTCCTCACCTCAGAACTAGACACACATTTCATTTTGCACACATTCAGGAAAGTTACAACCATATTTGCATATATGTAATCAAAAAATTACCTGGTTTTTAACTTAAAAGAGAACAAAAGAGGGATCTGAGTTGCATTTCAGTAGCTATTCAGGCAGTGTGTGTGCACTTGCATACACACAGCGGTACAAGGGGGAGGATTAATCTCAGTTCTCTCCCTGGTTTTTTATGTGTCTGATCTTTTTCTAAGTGTGAACCTTTTAATTGTCTCCTTGATCTTGATTTCTTACATACACAGACTCTGCCTCAATTTCTGCATATGTAGCCTAGAACCATGAGTTACCTAAGCCTGTAGCTTAGCTCAGGATTTACTTGCAAGCACTTGGTTAAGGACAGCGTGTTCTCTGAAGGCAGATGATACATGTTAAAATATAGTTCTTAAAAGAGACTGAATTGTTTTAGCATCAACCATTTAATGCTGTTTTCTTTTTTCAAAATAAATTCAAGATAGTAGATATTTTACAATAGAAAGTGTTGCCCATTAAAATAAACAAAAAGGAGCTTTTTCAAGTTGTCCTGTTGCAAGAAACTGGTCAGAAAACACACGTTTCTGATGAGTTGACACTCTCCATTAGAAAAGTGTTCAGCAGGAAAATTTCTGCCTAATATTAATTAACTATGGATTTCCACTAGACTGTGTAGGAAGAACAACATCTTAAGAATATCAAGCTTACACTATTTCTGTTTGGAAAGATGAAAGGATCTGGTAAGAGATACCAAGGTGTTTTCATTGCAGTGAATTGTTACTGCATTTTTGGACAAGGAAATGAAACAAGCTTTAGCTCAGCTGCTTACAACATAATTTTAGTGGCCTCCTAACGACTGTTTTTTGGTGCAGGTTGCAATGAGGGCTTTGGGCTTTGAGCCAAAGAAGGAAGAGATTAAGAAAATGATAGCAGACATTGACAAGGAAGGAAGCGGCACCATCGACTTTGAAGACTTCTTGGCCATGATGACACAAAAAATGGTAGGAATTCTTAGTAGAAATTCTTGTGACAGCACAAGCAGCTCAAAGTCAGGAGTCTTCTAATTAACACGTGTTGTACTCCTGTTTTTAGAGCGAAAAGGATTCACAGGAAGAAATCTTGAAAGCTTTCAGATTATTTGATGATGATGGGACAGGAAAAATCTCATTCAAAAACTTGAAAAGGGTTGCCAAAGAGCTGGGAGAAAATCTAACAGATGAAGAACTTCAGGTAAATCCTGATTTACCAGAGCTTTCCTAACAGGCACAGACCAATCCTGTAACTCCTAAGGACTGGGTGGAAATTCATGCCTATACGAAAAGGGTTGAGAGGTCAGAAATATGAAGGGCCAGTCAAGCATAGTTACGATTTCACATGAAGTGCTTCTGATTGATTGTTATTTTAATGAGGGGAATATCTTGTGTTTAGAGTCCAGTGCCTGATCAAGTGTCCGATATGTTTTGTAGGAAATGATCGATGAAGCTGATCGAGATGGAGATGGGGAAGTAAGTGAGCAGGAATTCTTGAGAATCATGAAGAAAACTAGCTTGTATTAATATTTGTTGCCTTGCTATACAGCTGCTCCAAAAGATAACCTGGAAAAGACTTAAAAACTGGGCTTGTGTCTCCTGCATATTTTCTGTCATTCAAAGTCAGGAAAGACAGATTTTTTTTTTTTTGGTTCATTCTTTTTTCAGTAAAGTTAACTGGGGAAGATGGACTGAACCTGCAAGGCAGGGTCCCTTTCTCTCCCCCATAACAACTTCCCCAATTGCCATTTTGGATAAAAAACGCTGTATTTTACTGTTTCACTGAAAGACTTTTCACTTAAGATGCAGAGATTGCCACTGCTGCTGGGAAAGGCCACTTGGACTTTCCTAAGGCTACAGATTGAAGGGACAAGCACGGTGGGTTTTTTATTCCTTTTAAGGCTTTTAGGTTATCTTTTGGTATTTGTCTCCTTTTGTTTATTTCCATGAAAGACTCTAAAATGAATTGCAAATCTGTCTGTATTTCTGTATGAAATACTTTTTTCTCATAGCAAGTTAGTTTTGGACTTAATGGGAAGCAAATGTAGCTAACCAGCCTTGGTTCTTCATTTGAAGCTGTGTGCCATCCACAGATCTTCTGTTCCTCTGTTTATCTGACCACCCAAAACCTGAATGAAACTTGAATGTAACGTGCTTGGCTCACCAAAGTTTATCGTAAAACCAGGCAACATCTTGTGCCATTATTTTTACTCCCCAGACATTAGAGCTGCTGTTACTTCAGAATTTTAGGTGTACCTAAAAAGTTCAGTTCTGTGGTGTGCACTAGAGTAAATTTTGTCCTTGGCTGTTGACTGTCAAGTTGAAGGGAGGACTCGCCTCTGAGGTGAAGAAATAGCTCACCATGGATATCTGTGGAACACTGAATGTATTTAGATCCACGCAATCCAAATTCATTTCACACATCACAGGTTTGGGTTTGGTTTTTGTTTCTGTTTTTGTTTTTCTTTTAGGAGCACCTTCCTTTTCTTAAGTATTTCTTGCACATACTGTCAATCTAGGACTTACTGGAGAGCCACATTTCCTTCTGTGTTATGGGGACAGAGGGGTGACACAACCTGACATCCAATTATGTGGCTCTGCAGCAGGGTTTATCCTTGGGTCCTGATTAGACAATCTGTTTTAAAACTTTCAAAGCCTGTAAAATTCCAGAGACCTTAGAAGTTCCCTATTAGCAGAGTTGGTGGCAGTTGATGTAATCTGTAGTACTGTAAGTGTTTTAAAATGTCTTAACTTTGTATAAGTGTGAAATAAAACTGTTTTGCAAGTTAAGGACTTCGTGTGCTAATCCTGAATGTCTCAAAAATGATTTTGAAGTGTTAAATGGTTCACCAAGTACATTTTCACTTCCATTTATCTTTTCTGCCTAAGAGAGGAATTCTTAGGCGCAATAGTCCGTCACGTAATTCCTCTTCCACGCTGCTGATTAAAAGTTTCTAGTACTAACCACGTACCTCGAGAAAGGGAAATTTGAAGTTCTAGTTTACTGTGGGGAATCCCAGAGGCTATCAGAGTGACTGCAGGTTTTTTTCGTGCTGCCACAGGAAGAGATTGACGACTGTGGTTTACCTATGATGCGTGTCACTTCCCTCTTCCTGTTCTTATCCCATTACCTGACCTCGGAAGGTAGGAAAAAGCCACACAATCATACCTGCCTGCAGTGGGGAAAAGTTATTTCTGGCTTGCCCATTAATCTTTCAAGCCTGGAATGTCAAGCAGTGGCTGAATTAGCCCAAAGTTTGCAAGTGTTTAACAGAACAAGCGTCTCGTGGTGCTTTAGTCTGCATGATAGTGAGGGATATCTTGTCCCCTCTTCAGCATGGGCAGCTCTGAGGGCCAGGGGAGGCAGATGGCTGTGAACCTCTCTGCATCCCTTCTTCCCTTCACGCTGACCTGGAGAGCAGGTTCTTACCTGGCATTTGGAAATTCCCCTTGGATGGCATCAGTATGTGCATCCAGCTGAGATCCTCCCTCTGTAACATCAGCCAAGCCTGGTTTTCAGTCTGAGTGTTCATTCGAGTCAGACACTGCACAGAAAGGAAAGTGGAACTGCAGTTTGTACTTGGCAAGCACTTAAATATCAAACATGCTTAAGGGCAAGAGCTGCTTGGGAGATAATATCACAAATTACTTCCAATGAAATACGTTTTTAAATGAAAATGTACCGGGCTTTCAATAAAATACAAACTAGTTCAAGAAGGAAAAAAATTGCTTGCAAGTTATATCCCTAAATATACCAATTGCATGGCAATTGTATTTCCACCATGTAACTTTTAAGTTCTTTATCATCTCTCAGGCCCACGGTACAGTCCCACAATCCTGTCAGTCCCACACTAAGGCAAATCTTCAGCTGGCTTTAGGAAAAACAGACCCAAGGAACTTCCAAGGAGTGCTGTGCTCTCACTTCATTAGGTGAATTTGTTTTCAGAGCAATAAGCAGGATCAACTTCTACCACTGCAGAGGAATAATGGCTTCTTTTCACCTAATCTTGGCATTTAAAAGAGGATGGTGGAAAGCAGTAGAACAAACATTTGTGTGCTTTCACATACCAAGAGTCTTACTAACAGAGCCCAAATAGTTCCATAAACTGATGAGGCATTTAATATTAAAATATTTAAATTGGTCACTTAAAAGTTGTGAAGAGTAACTCTCACATCCTGCAAACTGCCTGGCGAAGTCACACCACATATTTAAAATGGAAACCTCCTCCCTGAGTTAAACAAATCACTTACTGCCACACTATAACTGCAGCATAAGTGGATTTTGAGAAAGACTTGGGCACCAGAAAGTGCTCTGAGCCAGAACTCACCACTGTCACACTTGACACATGGAAATGTCACATATCTCCATATAAATAAGGACTGACAGATCTGAGAGCAGTGGCAGCCTCGCTAGAGGGCATCCAGTTACTAAAGTGTGAGGTGAGTGATGCTCTGATGCTTATTTCCCTCCTCTGTGGCTTTCAATGACGATAGAAAATACAGTCACAAACACCATCCAGACAGGGCTTGAAATACGTGGTTGGATACAAAATTATTTTCTCTGAAAAAAAAAAAAAAGAAAAGAAAACAAGTCTTTTCACACTACCCATGTGCAAAATGCTGTAATTATTAGTCGGTTGTTCAAAGCTGAACCCCCAAACCACACTTTCTGAAACTCCCACTCTGTATCAATTATTAAAGAAACACTCCCAGGAGAGCAGAGAGCTCAGCTCGCCTTTCACACAGTCCCCCTGAGCGCTCTGACCACTCTTGTCGAGTTATTTCCTCCCTTTGGGAATAACTGCTATCAAATGGAACCACTTCCAGCAGGGAGACAGAGCCAGACCTGCTGCAGGATGCTCGTGGCCGCCCCTTGGGATGTGGGAAAGCTGGAATCATGGCCTTTCTTCGAGTCAAGAGGAACAAGGATTTGAGAATTAGACCCTTGTCCCCAAGGTGAGTGTGCTCTGGGATGTGGCATAACTCCAGTGGCCTTGTGGGGACCTAAAGCTGTAGCTCTTGACCTCTTTGGAGCCCTGACTGCCACTAATCACTAAACTTGAAATTGCTCAAGTCTTTTTTTTTTTTTTTTTTTTTGGTGCTTGTCTGAATTAGATTTCACACAGCAGTTAAGAACAAAGCAAAGCTGTCAAACCTGAGCTGCAAAGGTGAAAAATTCTGGCCACAGCCTTAACATTTTTGCATATATTTATTACTCCCCTCATGTTGGATGCATGTGCACACACACATACATACACACACAGTGCAAATCTTGCAGTCCTATCATTATTAAGAGTTTCACATACTTTTGACATGGAAAAAGTACAAATTTGAGTTGGGAAGCTTCACTTGGAAAGAGGGGGGATTTGCTCTAACATTTTAGTCACAGACAGGGCAGGCTTTGTGTACTGTAGGGTTAGCATGGTGCAGAAATCTAGCCCTTGTTTACTTGGAGTGAAAATCCCACTGGGCCAGCAAGGGCTGTGGGAAGTGGCATGGGAACTACTTGTACCTGGTTCGGGGTCTGCAACAAACTGGTGCAGTCTCAGTGAGTTTGCCTTTGCTCTCAAGGCCACTTTATGTCCTTTGAAAGCTTCTAACTGGTTCTAGTAGCGACAAAAGTTTCACTATAAAAAGAATCCCCCCCCCCAACATTAAATAAAGCAGTAAAAATAGGTTTCCACAGGAAGCAAATGCAACAGCTTAAACTAAACCATTTCCAGCATTATTTTGTGCCACTCTCTACCCAGAAGCATAGCTTAGTGCAAACAAACAAAGCCAGAATAATTTACACATCCATGCAATTGTCTGAAATTCCTTCCTAGGGTAGTTTCTTCTCCACCTGACCCTGCTCAACATCCTCAATATAGAGAAAACTGATATATGCTTTCCTGTAAATTTTTTCAGACCTCCAAAGGAGAAGCACTGTGAAAGCTCTAAACATCAAGGAAAAACTGACTGCAAACACTGCAGATCTCACTTAGAAACGCTAGAAGTTATTTCAGTAAAAAAGCTCAACATTTTCACAACTTTTAAAGAAGTGGTATCAGAATTCCACAGAAACACTGTTTCCACACATCTTCTGAATGTTTTGTTTAAATCAGTTCATGCACTATAGTCATTGAGAGGTTGAAGATAATTGCTGCAGAATAGCTCCTTTCGGAAAGGATATAAATTTAACAAAGATTTGGGGATTTTTTCCTACATGAAAAAATCCATGTCAGTGAAGGTACAGCCCATGCACAGCAGCCAACAGGCGAAACAGGGGCTAACTATTTTCTCTAAGCAGAAAATTACTATAGTTGAGATTAGTTTTTGGTAAACATGTCCCTTATATGGCTCTTTATTAGCTTCCTCCTTAACATTAGGAACCAATAAAGTATTCAACAAAATGGCTGACAGGTTTAAATATTATTTCTGTTCCTGCTGCAAAATACATAAATATTTTTCTGTTGAATCCTCATAAACTGGGCCCCTATGTGGGTGAAGTAAATGCTTAGGATTCTTCTGCAGAAAACAAATGTATTATTGCTTACAGGATTAAAAATAGCAATATTACAAATCCAAGAGAAAATAAGACTTGAAAATGCTTATGTATCACAATTAAAGGAGCTTTACCCAAAAATGAAACTTCTTTTAGAAGGGGGGGGGTTGGAAGAAACAAGTATTTTTATTCTTCCTAGTTCCAAAACAAGATGCAATAGTTGTATTAAACAGGATATTATTTATTACGTGGGGATTTTTGCGGAGAGATTCAGAATCCTCCTGCCTATCAAATGCCATGCAATGCTCTGACTCACCAAGTCAAGGCTGAGAATGGTGCAATCCTGACCACCTCCTGCTAAGGGCACAGCATCATCTATTCCCATTGCCCTCAGCTTAGCACTTCTGCAAAAACTGGGCCTTAAACAATGAAGGCTTTAGGTCTGGGCTTCCTATTTCCTGCGGTGGATCTGTGTAGGTGGCCTTGTTACCAGAAATCCATACTCCTACACAGCAACTTCTGACTGTGTTTCTGCAGAAATGACTATGATGAAAGGAATGAAATATTTTTTAAATAAAAATCATGTGTCTGTTTCTCCAAACCAGTTGGGGTATCTCCTGCTGGCGGGATTAATTTCTTCACCTCTCGTGTGGCAGAATTAAGAGCGGGGTGGAAAACAAAAGGATTAAGGTGTTAAAGGGCACCGTGGCTTGGGCTGCTGGGCAAAGGGAGAGGGGAGAGCCTGTCTATACTGTCCCCTGCACATCACCAGCGGCTGAGTCACTGGCCCAGCCTGCAGAGCTTCTCTGCTGCTGCATTTCGCAGCCAGGAAAATCCCACATCCTCCCAGTGGGTGTAGGAAACGCAGCTCTGGATGCGTCGCCACCAAAAACAAAGGGGAGGTTGTGGCGCGGGCGGCGTCTGTGGGCTCAGGGCCATGTCCCAGGACCTTGCTGACAGCATCCCAGGGCACAGGGAGCTGTGAGCTGAGCCCAGGGCCAGCACTGCCTGCCCACAGCCCTGCTGCTTTGCCAGCCTCAGTGCTCCAAGATGTGTGCCCAGCGCTACCTCCCCACATAGGGATCCGCCAGGGCCACCAGGAAATGGCCTCTCCCATCCCGTCCCACCTCATTCTGTCTCTGCCCTTTGGCTCTTTGGGGATGTCACACCTCACCCTCACTGGCCTTCCCCAGCCCAGAAGGATGTTTGACTTCAAGCACAAGGGACTTACTCAGGTCTCGACTCTTGCCACGCTGTTGGGCCAGCACAGCCCTGGTGGCTCCAGAGGTGCTGCTCTCACCTCCCACCCATCTGGGCTCACTCCCAGCCATGTTCCATGATTGCAGAGGTGGGTGCAATCAGCCAAGGCAGCTTCAGTCTCTGAATTAGCCAGTACCAGTTAAATACCAGTTAAATACCACCAAAGCTGCTTGACAGATGATGGCTGTAAACGCGTATTTCTGGGAAAGCAGCTGAAGTCTTTGCTCACAGATCCACATTGTTTCCTTCCACGAGTTCCCTGTGGCCCTTGCCAGGCTCATGTTGAGGGTGGTGTTATTCCGAGAAGACCACAAGCATCCTGGGTCAGGCAGCCAGTGCCTGGCTCTCCAATCTAAAGTGGAGTATTGCTCTTGGGAAAGGAAACACGGGGACAGACTGGCACGGGTTTGCCCGGCTGTCTGGGCAACAGCTCCGGACAAAAGCGCTTTTGAGAAGCCGCTCCTGTAAAGCTGACAAGAAGAGACCTGAGATCCCTAAACGCTGAGGTGGCACCAGGAGAGGCTGTCTTAGGAAAGCAACCAAACAGCCTCAGTCATTCCTATGCAGCACAAGCCTTCCCACCCCAAGTCTGCAATGGCTTATAAGTGACTTGGATCAGGACACAGCATCAGTGTCCCAGCCAACCCGACAGCCCTCATGCAATCCTTCTTCTTTAGTGCCGTGCTTCCTTGGAGGCTTCTCCTCCTCGTGCCTCCTTAGCAAAGCTGCTGCCCCCGTGCCTCCAGCAGGGTCCTCCCACTCTGTTTAGCCACCTGAACTTCTCCTAGGAAGGTTAAGAAGCAAGACCATTCAGACAATAAAGGGGAGAAAAATTCTCCCTATCACATTTGTTCCATGCTCATGTTGACCAAGACAGGACAGCACAGAGAGGAGAAAATAGCTACATGTCAAGGGAAAAACAAACCAGCCTCTCCTAACTCTGTCTTGGCATGGATTCATTCACTACACCAAGTGCTTTCGGCCCAGCCTGATGGGCAGAGCAGAGCCTGCCTTTGTAATCTCTGCCAAAGGGAGAAACAAGGCCCCACAGACATTTTACCATGACTGGGTCACCACTTTGGATGTTTTAACACTGTTATTCAACACCAACATTCTCCTCCAAGGAAGTGTCAGAGGGGATGGCTCCACCATCAGCCTGGCTCAGGGAGGAGCTGCTTACCCCACAGGTTCCCCTTTCACTGGGTTCAGAGTGTCCCTTATTGCACAAATTACTTCACAGTGACAGTTTACAGATACGTCATGGCCATCTGGGACATTTCTTAGTATCTAGAGCTGCATTCTTAGAATGAATTTCCTTCTACGTGTTTGGGGTTAGAATGAACTTAGACCAACGAATTGCATGTGGGGTGCTGGCTCATTGTCCAGGAGTTCAAAAGTTTAAGGTAGTTTTTGAACACCACCTGCAAATCTCAGGGTGGCAGGTGACATACAAAATAATTTGTTTTTAAGAGTGAAGCACTGATTCAAACTGAATCTAGGTATTGAATGGAAAACGGAGTCTAGGACCATAATTTTTTGTGGCATTGTTGCCATCCTGAAACTTTTGCAGTTCAAAAGGTGGCACAAGCCTTTGACAAAAATGAAATCATTTCACACTTATTTCAGCAGTTTCCATTGAGAAATTGCCTTGTTCAAGGCACCATCTCTTTAAAAACATGACATCAGCTTCAGTAGATTTTACCTGATAACGCTCACCGAGTTCCTAGCAATTACCACTATTATTATTATTATTTGCATACAAGTTGCTTTAGGGACTATCCAAGCAGAACAGTAACAGCCCCATGCCCTAGAAAGCT